CATGCCAACATGACCTATAAACTAGACCAGATGGATGCAACAAGTTGATAGCCTGTACAGGTATATCTCTGAGAGACCTTGACAATGGAAAGCGTGCTTCCTTTATATCAGCAGTTCTGATGACGTACGCAGCTCTGCTAAGGAGAGGGGGGAATACTCTTCCTGGTCTTCCACCATTATTGAACTGGAGTCACCTGGTTTATTTATACTTGTTTGCATCACCAAGGGAGACCTTCAAGCACAGTGTGGTTGACTCATTTCAGGCTTAAATATTCCATTAGCTAAGTGGTAAGGAAGCTCATATAACCCAGGAGGCCCTCTGGTTCCATCTCAAGTATTATTCCTTTGGAGTTTCTGTCACTGTTTTCAACCTTTTTAGTTTCTGCAAATGTATTTGGCATTCAATTAAATTGAGATTAATCCAAAACAGATGACGCTGTAGTGAAGAAGTGCATTCTTGAAATCCTACCATCAGAGGTACTAAATTATCAGCACATAGACACAAACAGATCCATAAATATCAATTATTTAAAACGACTTAAAATGCATAGTTATTTATATAATTCATTTGAAAAAATATAAATGCAATGAACTCTTAACAATGAGCTAAAATGAGTAATTTTCTCTTCCTGGCAACATAAAATCATAAGCTGAAGACCTAGAATTTCAGAGCCTTCATCTCCAGTTGCCAAGAACAACTCAAAATTTTGCCCAAACCTCTGACTCTATTTTGTTGAGTTGTTTGCTTACCTAAAATCTTAGGGGTTAAGAGAAAGAGACCAGCAGAACTTCTTTGTCCTATAAGCTTGGAGGAAAAATGTGAAGGACATAAAAAGCAGCTTGAAAAATCTAAATCATAAAGGGTGAATGCAATAACAGTTACTATTGTTGTTTGTTGACTAACTGGGATAGAGCCAGATTTCAACCAGGCACAGTTGTTCTTTTTCTAGGAGAACCTAATTGATAGAGTCTCTTAAAAGCGAATCAGGTGACTAGACTACCCAACTGATGTATATGAACCAAACATTCATCATCATCTAATTCAGCAATGCCCTTTAAATACAACAACAACAACAAAAACACCTCAACAATGATGGCTGGGCACAATCATATGCTTTAGAGTCCCAGGGAATGGGACAACAATCAAGTTGACTCATCTCCTATCATATAAGGTCCATATCATTGTCCTTCCTCTCCCTTCATTTATTTAATTCTCACGTGCCTCACCTGAGGTTGTGCCCTGAGGGCATGCTTAGAGAGAGGAAGGGATGAGAGAGAGACATCTATGTGAAAGATAAACCCTCAACCCAGCCATGTGCCCCAACCAGGAATCAAAAGACACTCAACCAACTGAGCCACTCCAGCCAAGCTTCCTCTCCCGTCCTTTGACTTCGGCCTCATGGGGAGATCCTGACCAGCCATTAGTCATTAAGGAGAATCACACTGGCCCAGAAATCAGGTTACAGACCCATAGAAGGGTTGCCTGTAGGCAATCTATCTGTTGACATATTTGTCTCCTTTGAAGAGACCATAAAGTCCACAAAGGCACAACTATACCTCACTTACCTTTGTGTCTCTTGCACATATTAAAGTGGTTAAGAGAAAGATCGATCGCCTTCAAATGCCTGAACTCAAATTCTTACTGCAATCTCTGCTAGTTTAGGAATACAACAATGAGTAAGGCACAGCTCCTTCCATGGAGCTGCATTTTCTCACTAGGAAAGCTGAACTCATAATAACTTTCTCACTGGGTTATTGTGAGGATTAAATGAGAATTCACTTAAAGCTCTTAGCCAAAGATTCTCATAGTGTAAAGAGAATATTAGCTATCATTATTTTTATTATTATAGCGGGAGCTAAACAAATGAATATATGGAGGAATTGTGTGGGAGACGAAGCTGACATCTGTGGTTCATTCCACATCTAAAATTCTAGAATTCTATTCAGTTACAAGAGAAGTTCGTATCTGAAAACATTTCAGCTGTGCTAGATATTTGTGTTTTGGGTGCAATGTGATATAGAAGGAAGTGCATAGGACTAGAAGCTGGAGAGCCAGAGCAAAAACATGTCTTTATCTACCACCCTTAGGTTGATACATATCTGCATTTTACCTTTATGCCAAGCACTGGGTTAAGCTCAGGAATACCAAAGCGTGAGCCCCTTTCCTCACAGTGGAAAGGACACGCTCGCAAGTGTATCAGGGAAGCACAGTCCAGGAAGGCTCTGGAGAAGCTGAAATGTCCAGGTGGGTGGAACTGGGTTTCCTTCATCTCCGTTTCCCAGTCCCTTGCAGGGTTTCCAAGTACAGTAAGCAGCAGTTGTCAAGTGTCTGTTGAACAAATAAAGTATCACTTCTGCCAAGTCCTGCGTGGTGGTTCGGAGCCCACTAAGGTAAGACAAGAAGAAGGGAACCCAAAGCAGAAAGAATGGCACCTGCATTCCGGCACTCACAAAATCGAGAGATGCAAACCTGTGTGTGTGTGTGTGTGTGTGTGTGTGTGTGTCGGTGCTGTGGGGGGGAGCAGATTGAGCAAGGTGGTGGCTATGAAACCTTGTGTGGATTGAGAGCTCTGTGCAGCTTGATCCCTATCATGGTGAGCTCCACCCTCGCCCTAACCCCTTTGTGTCGCACATAGTTCTGAGATGGGCTCCTCATGCGAACAGTCTCCAGCCCGGGGTCCTCTCCACAGAGCCCTAATGCTCTCTTCCTCCTTTCTTTCCGAAAATGTGTTAGAAAACCATTAAAGAATAAAGACATATAATGCTGCCTTCATCATTCCTTTTATTAAACAAAAGAACTACAATAATTTTCAAAGAATAAAATTATGAGTGCAGGCACACTAACCACCAACATTTCTATTTTTCTGGCTTTCTAATCCTTAATGAGTACTTTATGGCACTCCACTTTAAAGATTTCTATTTTTAATTTGTCATTTTGAAAAGAAATATTTCTTCACTGAAGAAACATATTTTATTAACTTTATGAAGGCCTTTTGTATTGAAGGCCTTTCAGGTTTTCACTTAAGAAAACCTGAAAGAGTCAGGAAATTTGGGAAACATGTTCATTACTAACATTTGGGACATTCAGAAAACACTTTTGTGAGCAAGTTTTTAGCAGATAATTTTCTTTGCATGTAATTTCCAGGCTATCGCCATAATGGGAAGCAAACACTAATACTGAAAAGGTTTCCTTATACATGACACCCAGATACTGTCCTCAGAGGACACCCAACACTTCCACAGGCATCCTGGCTTCTAGCCTGAGTTCCTTTTGAGCAGGAGTGCACCCCAGCACTTCACTGTAGGCATTTGTTCCAGTGGGTGTCCTTCGGGACCACTGGTCTTTCCCGGCCACAGCTGCCAAAACTTGTGTTTCTAATTTTGTTTTGCTTTCTTAATAAGTGAAAATATGTCTTTAAATATTTTGTCAAGAAAGGATACTTTTAAGAGTAGTATATTTTCTCCTGACAATGTATGATAAAAATACCTTATTGCACCTTCACACAGAAAAGTTGATTGAGTATAAAATTATCAAGGAATAATCTTAAGTGCCACTGTTTCTGGCACTTGGTTTTGCCTGAGAACAATTTGAGACCAACCTCAGGACAGCTCTTTCTTACATCATCAAATTTTGCTCCTCTGAGTGCTTGAACAAGAGCTTTATTCTTATAATTCAAAATACTTTCCAAGATTGCCATCTCTTTTTACTACATTTTAGACTGAGTTTCACACTCAGAAGTATTTCTACTCAAGTCTCTACTTCAGGATTATCTTCAAACAAAGCGTACTAATTGTCTTCATTTCTTCTTCAGAAACGCATCTCTTGGGTGAGATCTGTGTGCCCTGGGCTCTGTAGCTAGCATTATTTTTATCATCATAACCTTAATCCTTTGTCCTTGACTTTTCAACATGGGGAGCTTGCAAGTATTTGTTTTCGGTATTAGGACTGCTGTTTCTGCAGCGCCCATTCTGTGTTCTGCTGCCCCTAGTGCAGATTTCAGTCCTGCAGCCAAGCTCGGACAGCTTCAGAACCTCCACCCCGTGCCCTGTCAGGGGTCTCGCCTGCGGGCTTTCCATCCAATGTGTTTGCTCCTTCCTCTTATCTTCTCCTTTCCTCACAGTTCTTCGTGCCACATAATTAAAACCTCAAACAAGTTTTGAAAATGTTCTTCTGTTTTTATAACAAATCACATCTTGGTGGTTTGAGTGCCAGAAAGAAACCTCTGCCTTCCTGGTCAGATCCAAATGCACGCTCTCTCTGGGAGATGCGGCCGGTTTCCTGCTCCCAGAAAGGGCTGGTTTTTGAACCAGGAAGAGGGGAGGCAAAGGCTGTGGTCCCCTCTCAGCAGAGTGGGTGTAGGTCCAGACGGGCTGAAATCTGCATCTGATGGGCTGATATAAATGCAGATTTCCCTTGGGACTACCACACCGTGTCTTCTGGATCGGGAACATGTTTCTTTTTCTTGTCAGAGGTGTTTTAGGAGGAAGCTAGAAGAAAGTATATCAAGGATTGCTATAAAGAATATAGGTTTAAGTTTGGAAACATTGACTACAATGACTGTTTGGCTTTGAAAATAATTCATATAACATCATATATGGAATAAATTAATACTCCTTTTTAAAGAAGACTTTTATTTTCTTAAAATGGCCCAAACACTTCATGGAATTGTCCTGTTATTTTAAGGCCTGAAAATCTAACCTAACTTGGTGCTGGCCTGTTGTAACACTCTGAAATATATTCAGAACAGTCCACCTTGACGTGCTCAGATGCTGAATGTTTTGTGCTGGGACAAAGTGAACTGCCGGTCTCTCGCCAAGCACAGCCAATGCACTGGAGTGTGGTTACCAAGATTGCGGGAGGATTTTTTCTATTTATTGTTATAGCTCAAATCCTTGTGTCCCTGGTAGGCTTTAAGTGACATAAATATGCATTTCCATCTGCACATCCTTGTCAGGAATAGTTCTGCTGGGAGGTGTTATGCCGCCCGAGTGCTTCCCGAATGGAGCCTGTTAATCCTGTTACCACTAGAGGAACTCGGGACAAGTCTCCTCAGGCCACCACTGCAGCTGCTGTGGCTGGAGCTGTGCCAGCAACCACACCGGGGACCAAGAAGAAGCACAAGAAAGTTGGATTTCCCTCAGATGGAGAGAGATGTAGAGAGCTAGCCTCCGTCTATTACTTAGACTAGCGGTCCCATAGTTTTTTATTGTAAACCTTCACCAGTAAAAAAGGGGGAAATAGCAAGCCTACCTTATGTACCTATATACCAGAAGACTAGACACACATATACACACACAGCGGATACCTATGCTGCCATATTAACTGAAATGTACATTATAAAGTGTGCAAAAATAGCTGTAATAGCATTTTAAGAGAATAACTATAAATAGGTGTTCTAACCTCATTAAATAGACTTGTATCCAAACGACATGTGCCAGCAAGGATGTGGAGAAAGGGGAACCCTCATGCACTGCTGCTGGGAATGCAGACTGACACAACCACTGTGGAGAACAGTGTGGAGTTTCCTCAAAAAGTTAAAATTGATACTGCCTTATGACCTAGCAATTCCACTTCTGGGAATTTATCAGAAGAAACCTGAAACACGAATTTGAAAGAATATATGCACCCTGCCGAAACCGGTTTGGCTCAGTGGATAGAGCGTCAGCCTGCGGACTGAAGGGTCCCGGGTTCGATTCCGGTCAAGGGCATGTACCTGGGTTGCGGGCACATCCCCAGTAGGAGATGTGCAGGAGGCAGCTAATCGATGTTTCTCTCCCATCGATATTTCTAACTCTCTATATCTCTCCCTTCCTCTCTATAAAAAGTCAATAAAATATATTTTTTTAAAAAAAGAATATATGCACCCTGTGTTCACTGCAGCATTATTTACAATAGCCAAGATTAGAAGCAGCCCAAGTGTCCATCAGTAGATGAGTGGATAAAAGAGCTATGGCACATTTATACAATGGAATACTACTTGACTGTAAAATAAAAAAAGGAGAGAGAGAGAGAGAAGGAGAAGGAGAAGAAGGAGAAGGAGAAGGAGAAAAAGAAGGAGGAGGAGGAGGAGGAGAAAGAAGAAGGAGGAGGAGAAAATCTTACCCTTTTGACAACATGGGTGGACCTGGAGAAATTATGCAAAGTAAAATAAGCCAGTCAGAGAAAAAGGAGTACCATATGATTTCACTCATATGTGGAATCTAATAAACAAACTAAGCTACCAAGCAAAATAGAGACAGACTCATAGATAGGAAGTAGGCAGAGACAGCTCAGGTGGGTGGTGGGGTGAGGAGGGGTTGGGAGTGGAGGAATTGAGCAAAAGAGAAAGAATTTATGGACATGAACAAAAATAAATAAACAAACAAACAAATAAATATAAATAGAAGGACTTGGACCTCCCTCAGTATATGAATGTAAGCCAATTTGAAGACCATTGGGCTAAACTCCCACCAGGTGGGTCACCAGGAAAACAGATCTTATATCACCAGTTGGGTTCCACAATACGTTGGGTGCACACACTGGACAAACAGGAGTTGTCAATAAGCATGTGATTTGCTTCTTCACCCATTTTCCCCTGTTGCCTCTTGCCCTGCCTTACAGTCTGCCTGACTCATGGTGTCTCCAGGACCTCTGTAGAGATGATAGCCCATCCTACACTTAGACAGTTGTCATGCATGACACTCACCTACCTGTCAAGGCCCAGAAGCTGGCAGGAGCCTCCAGTCTGCCAGTGCCAGACCCAGCTAAATAAACCCCCATCCAATCATCAGTCCTCCAGTAATAAAATTAAAATGTATCAATAAACACAGAATAAGAGTCTTAATTTTATATAATACAAGAGATCGTAGAATTTCCCATCCTATTTAATAAAAGGCTAATACGCAAATTGGCTGAACGGCTGAACGACCGGTCACTATGATGCGCACTGACCACCAGGGGGCAGATGCTCAATGCAGGAGCTGCCCTCTGGTGGTCAGTGCACTCCCACAGAGGGAGTGCCGCTCAGCCAGAAGCCAGGCTCATGGCTGGCTAGCACAGCGGCAGTGGCAGGAGCCTCTCCACCTCTGAGGCAGTGCTAAGGATGTCCTACTGCCAGCTTAGGGAGCGGGCCTAACCCCGCAGTAGGACATTTCCCTCCCTCCCTCAAGGGCTCAAGAATTGTTAGAGGGCAAAGGCTGGGCTAAGGGACTCCCCTCTCACCCCCTGAAGGCAAGAGAGTCATGCACCGGGCCCTAGTTAACCTATAAGTATGAATAAACACCTTCTGCCCCTATGATAGTGAAAGATTATCTTCAGATATAGAAAATTAAAGACTTGAATCAAAGCTGTTTTCAAATTGATAAAAAATAAAGTATTTTATTGGTAAAAGCTAGACTTAGCCAGAGCACAGCAAATAGACTTCTCCCAGGAACTCTCCGACATGTGGATGTGGGCATTCAATGGCACTTCCTGGAGGCGGGTAGTAAATTATAGGAAGAGCTTTAGGAATTTGGCCATTAACTCAATAAGTCCTTCCCTATGAATCCAACCTATAAAAGCAAATAGATATATGAAAAGATTCATGAAAATAATGTTTAAAATCATTGATAATAGCAACCTTTGGAAGCAGTCTAAATTTTTATTGAATGGGAGAATTGTTAAATAGTTTATGATACTCTATGCAAGAAGTATTATTTTTATTCATTCTTTGATTTCTTATTTATTAAATATCTACTATGTCCAGGCACTCTTTATAAATTAATTAATACAAACAAAGCTTTCGTAAAGGTGACATTTTAGTCAAGGGTAAAAGAGACACATACTCTATAATCAAGTAAACAAATACATGAAGAAAGCGTTTTAGAATGCTGACAGTCACTATGAGGCAATGAAACAGTGGCACAATGGAAGTGGCTGATGACGAGGGCTTGGGATTACTTTACTTAAGGATTTCTCAACCTTGCATTATTGACATTTGAAACCATATTGTCTTTCTGGAGGTGGGAGGAGGGGCTCCTGTGCACTGAAGGATGCTTAGCAGCATCCCTGACCTCCACTCACTAATCACACCCACCCAAGTCATGACAATAAAAATGTAGCCAGCCATTGCCCAGTGTCCACTGGGGGAAAAACCTGCCCTCACTGAGAAGCAGGGCTTTAGATTTAGTGTAAGGGAAAGTTGCTTTGAAAAGGTGAAATTTGAGCTGAGACCTGAGTATGTTTTTTAATAAACTGTAGGATGTAGGAAAATGCTCATGATATAATAACAACATATAAAATATAATATATTCAATGAAATCCCAATATTGCTTTTCCTTTTAAAATCACTGTCTAGACAAACATGATAGCTTTATAGTGAGAGGCATGAACCTGGGCCAGGCTTCTTAGTTAAAACCCCAGCTTCCCTGCTTGTGGCCTTGGTATATACTTCACCTCCTTGTGCTCTGTGTCTGCATCCACGAAATGGGGCTGACACAGTGGTACCTAACAGGTAGGGTTCCTGGGAGGACTAAGTGACTTAATACATGCCAAGGTCATAAAAGAGTGAGTGACACACCTTGGATGCACTATACATGTCATATATATAGTGCATATGTTTATGTATATACTAAAGGTTCGGTGCACGAAATTCTTGCACTGGGGTGGGGGTGTCCTTCAACCCAGTCTGCACCCTCTCGCAGTCCGGGAGCCCTCAGGGAATGTCCAACTGAAAGTTTAGGCCTGCTCCCCACTGGCAATAGGGCATCCTTAGCGCTGCCACGAGGCAGGAAGGGTCCTGCCACTGCCACTGCACTCACCAGCTGTGAGCCCAGCTTTTGGCTGAGCGGCACTCCCCCTGTGGGTGCACACTGACCACCAGGGGTCAGCTCCTGTGTTGAGCGTCTGACCCCTGGTGGTCAGTGTGCGTCATAGCGACTGGTCATTCCACCATCTGACTGAACCCAGTCCTCCGATATCACCTGAGGGTTCCTGGATTGCGAGAGGGTGCAGGCCAGGCCAAGGGACCCCACCAGTGCACAATCGGGGCCAGGGAGGGACATGGAAGGCTCCAGGGCATGTCTGGCCCATCTCGCTCAGTCTCGATCAGAGGGACCCCAGCAGCAAGCTAACCTACCAGTTGGAATTATATAGGATATTATATATATATAATAGAATTGGAGTGAGTGACATCTTAGAAGTACTGATTATATAATATAATATATTCTAATTGTAATATATACTATATATATATATGCCGGATATTTCCATTTTCTTTTGTGACACAAATGTGTTAGTAATTGTAGAATTAAAGGGGATTCTATTTTCTTTGTTTTTTTATATTCTTCAGTTTTGCATATTCAAATGCAAATGTTGCTTTCAAATCAAAATAAAAATCAGTGTGTATATTAGCACAATAGAGATAAGTTTGGACTTACCAGGATAAACTGACATTTCAAGAGTGAGGGAGGAAGACCCTAGAAGATGTGCACAAAAACTGGTCCCAGGGAAGATGAGTCAACTGTCAACTATCAGCCAAAATATCCCACATTCAATCAACCAGTCAGCTTCAGTCTCCTAAAAGATTTTAACACTTGCTTTCTACCAGACATTGACCTAGGTGCTGGTGAATCAAAGCTGAATAGAGCATCCATTTCCCTAAGGAGCTCAGAACAGGGAGGAGGGGAATACAGCCACAAATAACCACCGTACAATAAACTGAAGTGGGACCGCAGGCGGGTGTCGCCCCAGTTCCCCGGAGCTCCCAAAGGGATCCATTCATTTCTGTTGGAACCAGGGGCGGGGGAGGGGCGGGGGGAGGGACTTGCGGGAGGCGTCACAAAGGAGGTGACACACACTGGACTCGGAGGGGTGAGTTTGGAAAATGCAATCAGTAGGAGTTGTGGTTTTGAGCAGACATGTAAATTGCTCCTAATCAAATACCAGCAAGAGCAATCAACCGGGAGTAAAGAAAGTCAAAAGGGACAAAGGAGTTCTACTTCAGAAGACTATCTTGATCTCAGATCAGAGTGCCTGGTTTCATAAAGCAATCTGTGAATGTAAAGTTTGACGGTCATAGGAATGAGGAGACATAAGTTCAAGTACTAGCTCTGTCCCTTACCAGCTGGGTAATCTTGGGCAAACCACTGAAACGTCTGACCCTCCATTCACTTTCTCATTCATCTAATAGTTATAA